TCAACATATACTAAATATCTTTGCATCATTAATATGTCCTCTTAAATCTATTTCAAAGATTTCATACTTGTCCCCTAAGATTTACCCCTTTAAAAGTTATTGCCCCTTTTACTGAAAACCTTGTTATCGCTACTTCTCCGAAACAGTAAACCGTAGAGACACAAAACCTTCAATAATGTCTTCAGGGTCTTTAGACACAACTTCAATCTATTTAGTGCGAAAGTATCCGATGACCCCTTATATGAGATATCGCCCTTAAATGTCTTTGTGCTAACTATTAAACCTTATAACTTTGAAACTAAAAGTCAAAGAAGCATTGGATCAAGTGCAATGTGACCCTTGACCTTCGACTTGAATATTTGTTCAAGGTCAAAGGTAAAGGTCATTTCAAAATTTTTAAAATTTTCATTTTTTCTATCTTTCAAGCCATTTGTGGATTCTTTTTGTATAAAAATTAACTTTAGAGATTAAAATATGAAAAATATATAAAATTGAAAGAAGGTGGAAAGACCTCTAATTGTTCGAGAACAATTAGTCTACTAGTTAGGTCTTTCCACCTTTCTGTGGAAAGACCTCTTGAAATGCTTCCGTTTATTATTATTATTATTATTCTTCCGCTACGGTTTTTTGATCCGAAAGACTTATCGAGAAACTTTATAGTTCATGATACTCGACTTCTTAAATTATTTCGAAAAACATGTGGCCAGCTATTTAACCTTTGACCCTTTCATAGTTATTGCCCCTTGTACAAAAATCCTTGTTATCGCTACTCCTTAGAAACTGTAAACCATAGAGGTACGGAACCTTCACCAATGTCTTCGCCTAATTGAGGGGACTCTTCAATCATTTCATTGCGAAAGTATTTGTCAACCCCTTTTATGAGTTATTGCCCCTGAAAGTTTTTGATGTTTATGAATAATTAAAAATTTTCAAAACGATAAGTCGTAGAGACATGGGACCAACTGCATAAGATTTAATGACCTTTGACCTTCAAATATATGCAAAGGTCAAAGGTCAAGGTCATTCAAAATATGAGAAATAAAGCTCTTTTTATAGCTCTTTTGTCTTTCAACATATCCTTAATATCTTTGCATCATTAATATGTCCTCTTAAAACTATTTCAAAGATTTCATACTTGTCCCCTAAGATTTACTCCTTTAAAAGTTATTGCCCCTTTTACTGAAAACCTTGTTATCGCTACTCCTCCGAAACCGTAAACCGTAGAGACACAAAACCTTCACTAATGTCTTCAGGGTCTTTAGACAAAACTTAAATCTATTCAGTGCTTAAGTATCCGATGACCCCTTATATGAGTTATCGCCCTTTAACGTCTTTGTGCTTACTATTAAACCTTATAACTTTAAAACTAAAAGTCATACAAGCATGGGGTCAAGTGCAATGTGACCCTTGACCTTTGACCTTGAATATTTGGTCAAGGTCATAGGTCAAGGTCATTTCAAAATCTATAAAATTTTCATTTTTTCTATCTTTCAAGCCATTTATGGATTCTTTTTGTATAAAAACTAACTTTAGAGAGTAAGATATGAAAAATATATGAAATTCAAAGAAGGTGGAAAGACCTCTAATTGTTCGAGAACAATTAGTCTACTAGTTAGGTCTTTCCACCTTTCTGTGGAAAGACCTATTGAAATTGTTCTGTTTATTATTATTATTAGGTCTTTCCACCTTTCTGTGGAAAGACCTCTTGAAATGCTTATGTTTATTATTATTATTATTATTATTATTATTCTTTTTCTTCCAGGACTTTTGAAACCGCAAGACTTATCAAAAAACTTTATAGTTCATGATACTGGATATTAAAAGTTATTCCGAAAAACGACCCAACATGTTTGACCTATGACCTCTTACGAAGTTATTGCCCCTTTCGCAAGAATAGCTTGTTATCGCTACTCCTTCGAAACCGTAAATCGTAGAGATACAGAACCTTCACCAATGTCTTTGACTACTTGAGAGGACTTTTCAATCTATTCATTGTGAAATGATTTGTCGACCCTTTCAATGAGTTATTGCCCCTGAAAGTTTTTGAAGTTTACAAATAATGAAAAATTTTCAAAACGATAAGTCGTAGAGACATGGAACCAACTGCATTAGATTCTTTGACCTCAGACCTTGAAATTTTTGTAAAGGTCAAAGTTCAAGGTCATTCAAAATTTGAGAAATTAAGCTCTTTTTATATCTCTTTTGTCTTTCATTATATACTAAATCTCTTTGCATCTTTAATATGTCCTCTTAAAATTATTTCAAAGATTTCATACTTGTCCCCTAAGATTTACCCTTTCAAAAGTTACTGCCCCTTTCACTGAAAACCTTGTTATCGCTACTACTCCGAAACCGTAAACCGCAGAGACACGAAACCTTCACTTATGTCCTCAGGGCCTTTAGACACAACTTCAATCTATTCAGTGCGAAAGGATCCGATGACCCCTTATATGAGTTATCGCCCTTTAACGTCTTTGTGCTTACTATTAAACCTTATAACTTTAAAACTAAAAGTCATAGAAGCATGGGGTCAAGTGCAATGTGACCCCTGACCTTTGACCTTGAAAATTTTCAAGGTCAAAGGTCAAGGTCATTTCAAAATTTTTAAAATTTTCATTTTTTCTATCTTTCAAGCCATTTATGGATTCTTTTTGCATAAAAATTAACTTTAGAGAGTTAAATATGAAGAATATATGAAATTTAAAGAAGGTGGAAAGACCTCTAATTGTTCGAGAACAATTAGTCTACTAGTTATTATTATTTTTCTTCCGCTGATTTTTTGTTTCAAGGTTTATCGAAAAGATTTTTTGTTCATCGTAAAAGTCATAAAAAGTTATGGACAAATTTGACCCAACGCATATAACCTATGACCCCTTTCACAGTTATTGCCCCTTTTGCTAGAAGCCTTGTTATCGCTACTCCTCCGAAACCTTAAACCATAGAGGTAGGAAACCTTCACCAATGTCTTCAGCTAACTGAGTACTCTCTCCAATCTATTCACTGAAAAAGTATTCGTCAACCCCATTACTGAGTTATTGCCCCTGAAAGTTTTTGAAGTTTACAAAAAATGAAAAATTTTCAAAACGATAAGCCGTAGAGACATGAAACTAACTGCATTAGAATCTTTGACCTTGGACCTTGAAATTTATGTCAAGGTCAAAGGTCAAGGTCATTCCAAATATGAGAAATAAAGCTCTTTTTATAGCTCTTTTGTCTTTCAACATATACAGTATATCTTAACATCTTTAATATGTACTTTTAAAACTATTTCAAAGATTTCAATCTTGTCCCCTAAGCTTAACCCTTTTAAAAGTTATTGCCCCTTGTGTGAAAAACCTTGTTATCGCTACTCCTCTGAAACCGTAAACCGCAGAGACACGAAACCTTCACTGATGTCTTCAGGGTCTTTAGACACAACTTCAAACTATTCAGTGCAAAAGTATCCGATGACCCCTTATATGAGTTATCGCCCATTAACGTCTTTGCGCTTACTGTTAAACCTTCTAACTTTAAAACTTAAGGTTGTAGAAGCATGGAGTCAAGTGCAATGTGACCATTGATTGTTGACCTTGAATATTTGTTCAAGGTCAAAGGTCAAGGTCATTCAAATTTTTTAAAAAAATTCATTTTTTTTTCTATCTTTCAAGCCATTTATCGATTCTTTTTGTATAAAAATTAACTCCAGAGAGTAAAAAAAAAGAAATAAATATGAAATTTAAAGAAGGTGGAAAGACCTCTAATTGTTCGAGAACAATTAGTCTACTAGTTATTATTATTTTTCTTCCGCTGATTTTTTGTTTCGACATTTATCGAAAAGATTTTTTGTTCATCGTAAAGGTCATAAAAAGTTATGAACAAATTTGACCCAACGCATATAACCTATGACCTCCTTCGCAGTTATTGCCCCTTTCGCTAGAAACCTTGTTATCGCTACTCCTCTGAAACCGTAAACCATAGAGGTACAAAACCTTCACCAATGTCTTCGACTAATTGAGGAGGCTCTTCAATCTATTCATTACGAAAGGATTCGTTGAGCCCTTTTATGAGTTATTGCCCCTGAAAGTTTTTGAAGTTTATAATTAATGAAAAATTTTCAAAACGATAAGTCGTAGAGACATGAAACTAACTGCATTAGATTCCTTAACCCTAGACCTTGAAGTTTATGTCAAGGTCAAAGGTCAAGGTCATTCCAAATAAGAGAAATAAAGCTCTTTTTATAGCTCTTTTGTCTTTCAACATATACAGTATATCTTTGCATCTTTAATATGTACTTTGAAAACTATTTCAAAGATTTCAATCTTGTCCCCTTAGCTTAACCCTTTTAAAAGTTATTGCCCCTTGTGCAAAAAACCTTGTTATCGCTACTCCTCTGAAACCGTAAACCGCAGAGACACGAAACCTTCACTAATGTATTCAGTGTCTTTAGACACAACTTCAATCTATTCAGTGCGAAAGTATCCGATGACCCCTTATATGAGTTATCGCCCTTTAACGTCTTTGCGCTTACTAGTAAACCTTATAACTTTAAAGCTAAAAGTCGTAGAAGCATGGGGTTAATTGTAATGTGACCCTTGGCCTTTGACCTTGAATATTTGTTCAAGGTCAAAGGTCAAGGTCATTTCAAAATTTTTAAATTTTCATTTTTTCCATCTCTCAAGCCATTTCTGGTTTCTTTTGTATAAAAATAAAGAGTAGAGAGTTAAATATGAAGAATATATGAAATTTAAAGGTGGAAAGACCTCTAATTGTTCGAGAACAATTAGTCTACTAGTTCTTAAAGTATTTTACCCTCGGTATGTCGAATCCTCAGATGTATTGAACTTTTTTGAAGCTTCCACTGAGTTCAAGATAACAAGGTTTTACTGTATTTTACAGAGATTTTAAACAAATATACTGCATACTGAACCATTTTTTTTTTATGACAAGGGTAAAATTGTTGGATTGAGAATTGAGGCATCCCCTGTGTCATGTACTAAATAAGACATGCTACAAATACTTACTCTTGGTGGATGCCCAGGGTCTGTGAAAACAGCCATTACATAATTAAACACGATATTCACAAGGAGCCAATGTCCAAAAATAAGATGGAATATGGTTTTACTGAGACTTTGTTGGTAGACATGGGGCAGGAGGCAGATGTAGAAGATGACGACCACAGATGTAGTCAGACAGACAACCAGTATCATAAAAATCTACAATGATTACATATCAATTAATGGTCCACAGACAGTCACACACATAACCAGTATCATGAAAATCTACAACAATCATAGATCACTGAATAGGTTACTGTTGTTTTTTTTTTGTTTGTTTTTTTTAAAGTACCTTTATTAATTATTATTTTATGTACTTAGTCATGTTAATACATAAATATTTAGCTGCTTTTCTTTATATGTTACATATATACTGTACATACACTTATTATGTTCTTGAAACATGTATTCACATATCAGCATCTTTGATTTAATCACAGAAATATTACCTTGAGAGATATGTCTGACAGAGAAAAAGTGAAATTAAATACTGCAATAAGTACTTGCTGATATTGTTTCCTGAAAAGTTTCAAATAAGTAAACATGTAATATTTCTTACCAAAAATTTTCTACACAATTATTCTTACCCTCCAAAAAAACCAAAGCTGTACTATATAAAAATTTATTTAGAATCCTCTTACTGGTCCAAAGTATTTGGAAAATTTGTCAACAGTCCAAAACATTGGCTCAGCTGCTGTTTCCAGTCCAACCATGTAGGAGGTGAACTCATTATAGAACAGAGTCTGTCGTAGAAGGATCAGCCAGGAAACCAGGGCTTTACATCTGGAAACCAGTCGCCGAGGAAACTCGGTCACTCTCCAACGGACTCTGGCCATTTCCCGGGAGTCACAGACTTAACACACAACAAAGTTCTCGCTCCTCCTCTTCTTTTTCATTCCAATTTCTACAATTTGTGTATAGAATAACAGTGTTTTTCTTGATCCAAAATCAAAGCCATTAAATATAGACTATGTATTAGGCAATTTCCCTAGGAAATGTAGTCATCTCCCTCAATTAACTGTGTGTGCATTTTTCCCAATTATTTTTAAGATTTCAATGTTAAATCTTCTGAAAATGGACTGTTGTTATAATACACCTGAAATACCGTTGAAAAAAATGTTCATATTGTAAATAGAGTACATGTATACAAGATGTTATAATGATTTCAACTGTTTTAGGATTTCATTTTCTGTGAGAAATTATTATCCAAAACATATTCATTAAAATGTGGGTAAAAAACACTGAATAAAGAAATCAACATCATTTTACTCTCACTAGTATGGTGATTTTGAAAACAATACAATCTGAATATCTTCCCCTTTACATCCTATCTACATGTAGATTAATAACACCCCAAACTCTCAATTGGTTGCTGGTTGTTGTTTTTGGTACCATAATTTATTCAATAAATGAACAATGAAACAGCACCCTTAAACTATCCACAGCTTTTCCAGTATTCCAAATATATGTTTTCAAGCTTGCCCTTTTTTTTTTAGTTTTTATACATGACGTTCCAGGAAAAGTAACCATGTGCATGTAGGCTTTCCTGATGCTTTTACTTGGCAAGGTTGATGCAACCAAGAAATCTTTTAAAGATATACATGCTATATAAACGTGATTTTTATGTGAAACAAAATGATTAAATGATTTGAGAAAAATGATGTGTAATAAAAAATAATTACTTTCCACAACGTTTTACTAAATAAGTCGTTGTAATTACAAAACTCGTGTGGGGTATCCGGACCCCAACCCAGCACCCATCACTTGTATAAAATTCATATCGTAAAATACCAGAAATATGAAGGGGGAGCTTAAGAAAAGTTTGTAAGATATATAGGTAGGTAAATTGACATCCCCCTTTAAAAATAGGTTTTTCAGTTTCAAGATCTGCAATTAAGAATCCAGCCTATTCATGAATATTGACGAAGGAAGTGCGTAAACAGTATATAGACACACATGTCTGTGGGAAATCATAGACAACGAGGTACGTTGCATTTTGACTACGATTATGAATAAAAGTTAAAATCTGTCATTACAGAGTAGATCGTTTTCTTGACGCCATTTTTGTTTAGCAATCTAAAATTAGCGACGGTGTCGCATGATGCATGAATTAAAATAGAGGCATTACTTTCCTAGTAGGATAATAAATAATTATAGCGAGCGCAGCGAGCGGCGCGAAGCGCCGCTCGTCACTGCGAGCTCTAACGACAACGCCTGGGCGAAGAGAAAATTCGGACTACTGCACATTCATTCAACAGAATTTTTTTCCGCAGTAATTCTGACCCACAATGCATCACTTTTTGTTCTCGCTGCTAACTTCGTTCACGCGGTGACAACATCTAAAATTTCACAAAAAATAAACTCACCTTAATTTAATGGCTATTTCATGCAGATAGTAGATTAAACGTTCTTTGTTAAAATATTTGCACTTTTTAAACTTTGTTTATGGAAATGCAGCTAACATACGACGTCATGTGACGTCACAGTCTGTCTCGTGCGGTTTGAAGAGGCGGATCTTAAAATGAAGTGAACAATGCGCTCGCCCCAACGGTCGCACCGTCAACATATTAATTTGAGATCTTTATAGGGTGAATTCACCATGCATCGGACACCCTTGCACTTCAACAAGTTCTAGTGATATCGCTACCGACCGAATATTATCAAAACGGAACTTAACATGTAGTATGTGGTTAAAATATAAATTTTTGACACAATCGTGCCCTATTTATTGAGAAAATATCATTAAAAACCGATTTTTTCGAAATAAGTCAGAATTTACCAAGGATCGGACAATATTCACCATGCATCGGACATACGATATTTGAACCAGAAAAATATCATACCTTGATCTTGGTGCTTTAAAATTAGTGATATCGAAAGATTTTTATCTTTTATTTAAAAATTAACCTTCTTATTAAATTTGAATGACTATTTCGATCCTCAAATATGAAGAGTTTTTAGTTGCATCAAATCGCCTTAGAAAGGCTTTACAATGCTAGTATAATATGACAACTCGCGCCTTTGTCTCGTGGGTTATAATCATCTAGTTTAAACAAATAAATTGAGTCCACTTCTAGTCATCATATATCGATAATTTGTATTTTCACTGAAAATTTAGAGTTTCTATTTTCTATTTCCGTAAAAAACAGCTGTCATTTGAGTTTTACATGAAAATGGAAGTGATTACCCATGCATCGGAAAGTGTCCGATGCATGGTTAATTCGTGTCCGATGTACGGTGAAATAAACATACTAGTTAAAAACAACTCTAAAATATATAATACAAACATTGAAGTAAAATTTTTGAAAAATTTCTGTAATATTATCAATCATTGGCAAATTTTACCAAGGTCCGACCCATTCCGTTGACGTCTATTTAAAAGAACGACAACTCTAAAAATTGCAAAATCGTAAAATTCTGGTTACTCCCCTTTGATGATGCAAAATATGACGTAATTTCAAGGCCATTCTTGTGGTATTTTATCACAACATGAAAATAAAAATCGACATCATTAAAAAGTTTAATTCTTCATCTTTAAGACAGAAACAAGTAAAAACATGGGGAGACTCAGGTTCAATGAAAGTTTATTGCTTGAAGTTGTCCGAAGCAAGGTATGTGTCCGATGCATGGTTAACTCACCCTAATGCGTTCATTTCCAATTGTGTAATTTACAATATTTACTTAACTTTATTTGGTAAACAAAATAAATAAATTTCCAACTTCATTTTTAACAGACGCAAGTTATAGCGTGTATATCTTTAACATGCACTTTATTATTTTGGACATTTTTTACGAAGACAAAAACAATAAACATATTTAAATAATAAAATACACCACCTGTATCTAATTACTGTTGTCTAATCTTTTGAGTTTGAAGACCACGGTCTCCACCTCCTCTAGGCATTACTAATGTTTTTGTTTCGACTACTCTATTCACCTTCTATACCGAAGAGCTCTAAATTGAATGTTTAAACAATTCGGGGCAATAGTGTTTCGCATTAGAGATTCTTCTCCGCCAAAAGATTTTAGATATATATTCATTACATTCGAAGTATTGAAATACTGTAATTTATCCATCGAATACAATTCATATTCTCACAGATGTGTTAATTTCACAATGAAAATAACAAATTCGCTGCAAAAGTTTGCTTTTTTTTTTTTGAAAGCGTATATGTAGACCTGTAAGATGTTACAAAAATAATCAAAAATATTTACAAAAATATTATTCCTCAATTTAGACCGAGATATATGCTCAAAAGAGTGATTCGCCAGAAAGCTAAATAGCTTTTGAGAACCTAACAAAGAGAAATAATTTACAAAAACTTTGGGACGGGGTAATAATCTAAGAATCTATTTGTCATGGCGTCAGACAGTACTTACATGTACCAAGTTTAGCCAAGGCTTGTTGGTCAGGTAGTTCAACAGAATTATTGTGATAACTTGATCTTGGAAACACGCTGAACAACCAAACAAGCCAGAGCATAGGAGCTGAAATCATTATTATCACATTATACAATACAATTATACAATAATACAATATTTTGACTAACCTATATATGATTATTGTATTTTTGGCAGCTGAATAGAAAAGAAAATTCATCTTCAATCGATCCCCTGTATTGCAAATATTACAAAATCTTTCCTCTGTGGGTATAGACAAATGTCTACCTTTTTCTATGAGAGGGACGTTAAACAACAATCAATCAATCAATCAATCCATAAGTACTGATATAGATCATCTGAATGTGGTGTTAAGCAAGGCGATATCTTAAACCCATCTCCCTTCAACATAACATAAAAAATTCAGATGTGAATGCTTTATGCTTAGTCCATTAGCAAACTTTATATTGGTTTTCGTACTCTCATACATAGAAAATATAATATTGAACATGCATATTGGTGTGTATATTGGATTTCAGGAATTTATAATAAAGTCCAACCCTCCACATAGTGTCAAATGCTTTACTTAGATCGATAAAAGTTGCATAAACTTTTTGCTTTTTTGTTTTTATGATATTCCGATATAGTCTTGATTGTAAAAATATGATCTGATGTTCTGCTTTTTTCTTTGAAACCAGTTTGATTTTCACTGATTAGTGATGCATCCTTGATCAAACATAGCAATCTGAAATGAATAATCCTATTAAAAAGTTTCCCTAAATTTGATACGATGGAAATATATACCTCTGTAATTACAAGGATCAAGTTTGTTACCAGATTTAAGTTAGAGTACCAGAATATACTTTCATTCCTTAAAATAGGAAATTGCCCTGGGTTTAAAATAAAGTTAAACAGTTTATGTAGTGGCTTCATAAATATACTACCTCCATTTTTTAACATTTCATCTAGAATTTTTTTTTTTTGGCAGTCATTATTTCTTGAGTTGTGATTGGGGGACAAACATCATTCTCTAGTTTCTGTTTTAAAACATTATAAACTGATCGGCAATGAATTTGTGGAAATCATTCCGATTGCTATTTTCAGTATTCAGTGTTTTGAAACACTGGTAAATATTTCACAGGGAAATAAGGAGAGGTGTTACATGTATGCATATGCTGCATTTTATCTAGTTTAAATTGTGCAACATTTTCCAAAATGTTTTGGGATTGTATCAAGATTGTTGTTAATTTCACGACATTTTTTTGTTTGTATGATTTTTCTTCATATTTGCACATTACATTCATTACATACATACATTACAGCATACACAACCATTCTCGAATGCATCATTCATGCCCAGCAAAACAGAGAGTCTGAAGCTGGTAAGATTAACACTTGTCGATTATCTTTATCAGATTAACTAGTGGTTGTTTACTTTGAATGCATACCAAGTCTCTCTAACTTCATGACCGTAGGAAACGGGGGGGGGGGGGCGCACGCCCCCCAATAATTTTACCGATATATAGAATACTAGAAAATATCTTTTATATATCTATTATATGCTTGTGCCCCCTCAATAAAAACGTCTATAATGACCTTTTTCTTTCTATTCTTTTTCTTTTCTTTTTTTTTTGTTTGCTCGTCAAGGAATTTTTGGTAGTTGATAGTGCCCCCCCCCCCCCCCACAACTGAAAATATATGGCTGTACCCCCAAACTGAAATTGCTTCCTACGGGCCTGACCTTTAGTGTTTTTATAAATCTACACATATTCATAACTTGCAGACGTTTGATTTAATTCATAGTTTAAAAAATATCTTAAATCGTGCCAACGTCTTATAATTCAAAAAGGAACTTCTCTTTTGCCGTATCTTTGTTCTCCTTACGTTATAATTCAGAATTCATTGAAATTCTTTCAGCCGTTCTCGGAAGCAAAAGCTGAAATTATCTAAAACAAATTACGACCGACTACGGCGGACGAAAACTGATAGCAATAGCTAGGTCACGTGAGTGACACATGTGACTTAAAATAATCATTATATTCTTGTATAAACATCTGATTCCATTTATTCAAGTCATGTAATAACAATTTGTTATGCCAACGAGATGCTTCAGTATATACAGAGTGTACTTAAAGTTGTATATATTTTTTTAATGTTGCCACAAATTTATGAAACTGTATTAGGCTCATACAAACAATTGAGCATTATATCACTTTCATAATCATCTTATCATTATAACCATCAACTTCATCCTATAACTTTCTGAAATACGTATCCAATATGTAGCGAGGGGTTGAAAAAATTCTATCAACACTGCAAGAGACTTGTATCATACCATTTTCATAATTTGTATTCTTGTTGCTTTGCAAAAGATCTATAAAAGTTTTTTTTTTCCTTTTATACTTTACATTTATTGCAAATTTAAAACCTATTCTGACCTCCAGGAAAAGCATATGAAAAGTATGTATATCTTTAGATGCACGTTTAATAAACAGGAGTATAGCATTTAAAAGGTTGCATTATTATAATTTTGTGTTATTCCTATTCAAAAATTTTGTTATTCTGTTTTTAAAACATATCATTCCTATTCGATACAATGTGATTCCTATTCGATAATTTATCATTCTTATTCGATAAATGTAATTTTTATTCGAAAACATGTGATTCCTAGTCGATAATTTGTTATTCCTCTTTGAAATCCATGTGATTCCTATTCGATAATTTTGTCAATCTTATTCGATAATTAAATGATTTATATTTGATAAACATGTTATTCCTATAAAAAAAACATATTATTATCATTCCTATTCGAAAACATACAATTCCTATCCTTATTGAATATGATACTCAATTCCGCCCCAAAACTGGGATTGAACTCTCGAGCTGCGGAATCTGTCTCCTACCAGTTCTGGAACAGCACACTAGACCGCTCGGCTATGTAGGCAAGTCTAAAACTTGCTTTCGATGCCGATGGAATTCTCTCGGCGCCGTCCTACACTTCATGGTCATGAAGATTGGAATTGAGATACAGCTATGTGGACATAGTTTTATTAGAGGATCTTTATTGATATATAGTGTAATAAAATTAACATTATTTCATAGCACATTTAATTTACAAAAATTCTTAAACTAACACATCAGCCCCATGCAAGTGAAGACATTTTAGTATAGAAAGCACAGAGCAATTCACTTTATAAGGATACTTATTCCCGCCCAACTCTCTCTCTCTCTCTCTCTCTCTCTCTCTTTGATAAATAACATATACATGTATACAATAATTCCTCCATTTAAATGTTTTTCCTCATATCTTCAGTTGTATATATATATTCATGTTTTTTACATTTTACTGCACGTCAATTAATCATTAAATTTCAAGTGGCTCTTGACAATTCTTCCTGTATCTAAAATGCACATAGAAAGGGGGTCATTACATTAGACACATCCGACAAACATGGCGGACAGTAAGGCGACAAAATATCCATTGGGCTCGCCACAAGAGCATATTGAAATGTGTGAATTTCACGAATTGCCTATTGATATGATATGTGAGGACTGTGATAAATTTATTTGTGCTGAGTGTGCCAAAACAGATCATAGAAATCATGATTGGAAAACTCTTCCAACTGCAGCTAGCCTAAGGAGGAGGGGTCTGCTTAAATTTATGAAGAAAATCAAGGAAGAAGATCTTTCTGGGATTGACGAGAAGATAGTGAAGATGTCAAAACAGATCACAGAAAATAAAGAACTGTGTGACGCTGAGATTAAAAAACTACAGAAGCATTATGATGAGATAATGGCCAGGCTGACAGATATCAAAAAACACCATGAACAAACATTGAGAGGTAATTTAGTTAAAATTAATGATCAACTGAACCATGTGAAATCTGAGTTAAAAAAAGAAGAAACGAAGAATTATTGACACTGTGGAATTCTTGGAGGAGAGCAACAGCACCATGTCAGATTACAGCTTGATTGACAACCACAGAGAACTGACAAAAATGCTGTCTGAATTGGAGGTTCCTATAAAAAATTATGAACATTCAGTGACGTACACAAGAGGTGAGATAAACGAGGACTTAATTGAGTCTTTGGTTGGAAGAATTACTTTAGATTTAGATGATACATGCATTGATGTGACTCAGATCAACTCATTTCAATATGGAGATAATATAATAGTTGTGTTAGAGACAGTCAGTGAAGAGGAATGTTACATAAGAGAATTTAAATCAAAGTATATAGAAAAGGTCAACAATCAAGGTGCCACAAGAGAAAAAATTAGTCTCACTCCTAATGACATGTGTGCGACTGATAACGGTGAAGTTTATTTTAGTGACTTAAGTAATAAGACCATCGGCCGTCTGTCACCATCAGGATCCATATCTAGAGTTGTCAGGACGGAACCAATGCTACCAGGAGCAATCTGTCAGTCAGTGGACGGTGGACTGCTGGTCACCTTGAGAGACAACAAATCAGAGCATTACAATTTGGACTCTCACAGCAGACGTATCGTGAGACACATCACAGTGACAGGTGATGTCATCCGTGAGTATGAGTACCAGGAGGACGGTCAGACCAGACTGTTTACATTACCAGTCAGAGTCACACAGAACAGTAACAGTGATATCTGTGTTGTGAACTTTACTAGTCCCACTACAGGTGATCTAGTAATTATGTCTTCTTCTGGTCGTATGAAGTCTGTTTACTGTGGACAGAACCTAACAAAGAACTTTTATCCAACTGATGTAGTGTGTGACTCCCTCTGTAACATCCTTGTTACAGACCTAGGTAACAAACAGATCCATCTGCTGAGTCCTGATGTTGAGTTCTTCAAGTTCTTACTAAAAGAGAATGAAGTGAACCGTCCTTGCAGACTAACACTGTGCAAGTCTACACTGTGGGTGGGATACAATGAAGGATTTGTCAAAGTGTTCAAATGTAAAATGTAATTATACATATATTTTGATAAAATTCACTCATACGAAATAAATATATTAAATATTATAATAACAGTAACCTGATCCGAATAGCCTTTTCACATCGAGTTGACAGGGGCGGGTCATCAGATCAAAACACTACTGGCTTTCAAAACCCCTGTCTGTATGAAAATCCTCTGTCTTTCTCTGTAACCTACAGCATTTCCACAATTATCTACGGTATATCTACAGTATGGTACGGTATGTCTCCTCTGCATATACAGTATTTCTCAGTATGCCACTGTATGTATCCCCAGCATGCCACAGTTACCTACAGTAGGCCCAAGTACGTCTACGGTAGGCCCCAGTATGGCTACTGCTTCCTACAGTGATCTACGGTATGCCACAGTATATGCCCCAGTAGGCCCCTGTATTGTTAACCGAAGCAAAACGGTAGAAGTACACAATGTTTTAAGAGGCAATGTTTCTACAGTAAAAGCTTTTCATCGCTAAAATTATTTACGAAGAAGATTATGATGATTTATAGAATTGTTTTTGTACATTACATCTCTAAAGTAATGATATACTTGCTATGTTGTAACAAATACAATTAAAAAAAAAAGTATAATAGATTTATTTCTGACGGGGGTGATTACGGTCAATATATTAGAAATAACGATAATTAATCACTATTATTTCAAGAAAAAGTCCTGTCCTGTTGTAAGTGGCTGAGAATCTTTATATCACTTTGAATCATCGAATCATCAACAAGGTCAGCCTGTTTTGACACATTGAATGAACATATTTGGACTTTCTTTGAACTTATTAAAAAGAAGAATTAGTTCGTATTAAGCCCGCATGTTTTTCAATCAGATAAAATGAACATGTTTGTAAAGGTTTTTTTTTATCTAGGAGCATAATTCCCAATAAATATTGTTAAAAATGGTGCCATTAATAAAAATGACAGTGGCTAATGAACGGAGGGACGTGATAACAAATTACTCTTCCTGACGCTTACTTGACAAAATTGAATTATAAGTCGTATTCAGATAATATTTAATTTTTATGTATTTATGTAACGAATTCAGAAACAATTATTAACAGCACTGAAATGTTATTATTCTTTTCTCTTTTTCTCGTTAGGCTGTTCAAAGTTAATTCTACATTTAACGTCACCTCTAAAGTTCAAAACCTACGAGGGAGGGAGAAAAAAAATAAACAAACAAAAATTTTAAACATTTGTGAATTTATTAAAATTAACCTATTCAGTACATTAAAAAAACACTATTGAGTAATAAGAGTATTGGATATGACATCTAAGTCTAATTTCCTAAGCAGAGTTTTTCCTTAATATGTATATTGGTTTGAATCCTTTTGTGAGCAAACAATGTAGACTGAATGTGCAGGAGAGTGACTTGTAACTGGCCTCATTTGTCCTTTGGATTTATATTGCTACACGTCCATGGTATCCTGTAAGAAAATGCTTCTTCTTGTGGGAATAGTTGATTGATATCTACAATTAAAATTATGTTGACAGTATTTAATACATTCTTAAATTGAAAATATCTCGAAATTGAATTCTGCTGTATTTTCACTCATAGTACTAGATCTACTAGCATTTAGTTTTGAAAGTGTAAATACTATATTTGGACCATAGGTGTTAGATAATTTTACCTTGAATTTCACACACGACAGGATTCTTCACTTCTTGGAATACCCCACTTTCCTTACTCTCCTTTGCTTGAAAGGCCCTATCTTCTCTAAGCTTATCCCTGCTCAAATGGCAATGACTAATATTATCTTTCTCTACAATGGTTGCCATTTATAGGTACATGAATGCTACATCTTAAATGTTTACAAAAATATTTTAAGACGAAACTATTAAATAAAATTTAAATGATGCATCTCACTGTATATTATAAAATATTTGTTTCTGACACACTTTACACTCAGTAAAAAGTTTTGCAATTCTCTCCAAACATAATGAATAGTTCATCCAACATAATTACGAACTGAGAGTCTGTGATACGAAGACTGATAAAAACTCAACAAACTAGACTTTGTCATTAACTTCAATCATAAAATCATCAATGTTTTACTTACATTTATGATCCAATACTGTTTAATTTACTAGTTTTCTGTTAATAAGACAACAACTGCGGTATCAAAGCACATTTTCTGTCACTGCGGGATGCAGAATTAAGTCGCTAAATGTAGAACCGAATATATGAAATTCCGAATTGTTTGTTTTTTTCAAAGACGTATTTCTCCTAAACCTACGCGCGCGGGTGACGTTAAGAATATAATTAATTTTAAACAGACTTATTTTAAAACGGCCCAGAAATCATTTGAATGTAATTTTCCATTCTTTTTTGTTGCATTTCTGACGAATTCTAATCTGCGTATTGATTTACGTAATATTCTGCAAAAAGTCAATCAAGTTTCGATTGTGGGAACACTTCTAGTATACCGGTCCCTATAAATATGGCGCTAAAATAGGTGCCGCCGAAGGCGGTGTACAATATAATACGATCACGTGAGCGATCGACAAAATCGATAAAAAAGGCTACAAATCGCAAAATTGAGCCAAAAATCGTGTTCCTTGTGAAAAATTGGGTTTAAAAAACTGGTTTTTAAACACAGTTTTTTAAATGAGAATTAAAAGGTTTCGTAAAATAACGTACTTGTTTAGTAGATAAAACTCCATTTTGCGTTGTTTAGGAATGTGGTCACATGATCAGTTTTTGACGTAATCTCATAAATATTCATGACGTGCGTCACTTGTGTTTTGACGTAATGAAGACTGATGAAGAAGTAGCTGATAGGACTCAAAGTGAAATGCTACTAAAATTGCGAGATTTTTGTGAGAAATGCAGGGATTTAACAAGTGATAACTAATTACTAGTAATTGGTTGATTGAATTGTACATCACCATTGATTTGAAAGAAAAAAATATTCTGAATATGGACATTAGGAGGTTAGGATATCGAGCTTAAGTAAACGGTAAGTCGCTTTTACCAATTACTTGCCAAAACTTAGCGCACAATATCGGGCATGTTTCAACATTAGACCAAGGCTAATTCATCCAAGTTTCGCAAAACTTTCCTGTTCTTTGTAAGCAAAAATTGCATGAATAAGCCCAAAGTGGTATAGATGCGAGCATGGGTGAATATAAAACAGTTACAATATCCGAGCTATATATACACTAAACCTAATTCGTAGATCGCATACAATGCCATATTTAATTAACGGTCTGTTTAAGTTTTGCATGTTTCATGCTTTACTCCTATAAGATGGTATATGGGCACGGTTCAACATTAGGCTGATTCATGCAAGTTTTTGGTCACAAAAAGCACTTGGCAGTGCCTTTTGTAAGCAAAAATTACATGAATTAGCCCAAAGTCAGGAAGATTTAAGAGTGGATTTATAAAACAGTTCCAATCTTAAAACAATATACCCTAACCCTAATCACTCGATCGAATGCGTTTTGTTGAAGCGAGGGGGAAAATGGCGGTTTGTTTACATTCTGCATAGCAACGGCAAGGGAAATAACTGCTCATGCGCAATCGCGTGATTCTGGGGACCGGCATACTAGAAACTTCCCCGATTGTGAAATCGATCAATCATTTTCTTTTTAATTTATACGCAACTTTTATAAATATTTCAAACTGCTGAGAGCTCATACTATTTATAATTGGAGGATTGTATAAAGCTATTAAGTTTATAAGCCACCCCCTCTTGTCTCCGTACAATACGCTAAAGACAGGGCATGATTACTTGTACACAATGTTAGACATTAATTCTACGTCACCTTTTTGTTTAATATCGTGATGAAATTCGGCATAATTTGGACCTTATCAGAACAAAATTTTCCGATTTCCGATCATAAAATTAATTAGTATGTTTTATGGTTCTTATGGTGATACAGAATTAATTTTGTTTAAAATGAAATGAATTTATAATTTAATAATAATTTCATTTACTCTATCATCTAGTTTCAATTTTCAGACCCACTTATGATTAAGAATCATTGATCTGCCCCGCACTTTTCTTTTATCAACTTCATTGTATGCACTGAGGCAGAACCAGGGTAGGTTTTAGTATATATATCTAATGTAATTTGTAGTGGTCAGCTTAACAATAGGTCCTAATTGCCTATTGTTCTCTGGCTGCGTCTGACCACTGGTGTTAGGACTAAATAAACAACTGACTGACCAATCGTAACAAGACTGTTTTCACATTCACTATGAAATATCAGTTTAATTTATAGTATAGATATGCTAGAAAACTTTAATTAAAAAAATGTCCAAAAAAAATGAACACTGAAAAACAATATATTTACAATTATTGCTGCTAATTTGTACTTTATCCTTGCTAATACTTTCAACATCGATGTTGTTTCTTAGGTGCTTCTTTAAGGGGTGAAACGCATGAATTAAAAATATAAGTTTCGGCTATACAATTTCTGTTTTAAAAATATCATATATTTGTAATGTAAAATGCATTGAAAAGCAGGCACGAATGCCTATAATCCTCTTATTCACTGGTACATTGAAATAAGCAGTCATTAAAATAATTCGAGTCCAGAGAGAGAGAGAAAAAAAAAATTACACTTTAGATTATACAAAATAAATGGATAAGAAGTTATTTTAAACAAAGGTCAGCGAAAACAGTTGAGAAATAAGGATAAAAAAGGATCCGTACATGAACCAAAATCTTCCGTCAGTTTTATATCAAAATCTACTAATTTAAAATTTACTCTGCTTTATATGTAGTTTGTATCGTACGCTAATTGATGTGAAAAAAATTCGGAATTTAAAACGCCTGGATATATCTGTCAAACCTATGGAAAAAAGAAGATAATTCAATACTAAGTCTTTATTTATTCCTGAAATGCTATAAGCCGTATCATTTATTTTGAAAATTTATATTAAATTGTTTAGTATCAAACTCATTCTTTCTGACTATAACCTCAAGAACATACTTAGACACAAGACAGGGCACGGAAATATGCATTACTAATTTTTTTTCTAAATCAATTCAAAACGTCAAAAAAAAAAGAAGAAGAAATCTGACTTTTTAAAAAGCCTATTCCCCCATTTCCTCACCCTCAAAACGATGCTAAGTCTCGGGGTTAGAAATTAAAAAAAAAAAACGATAACGTTTACCCATGATCTATTCTGCATTACAGAAATCAGCAACATTTATAAATTCTGTTAATCATGTACATGATTCCACAGTCCACGGGCTCCTGATCAGATCAAGGTCCGGTATACAAATTGGCGCAACGAACTAGCAGCATGTTATTTTCAATTTATTCTCAGAAATCAAACACCGAAGAGTTTTTTACCTGCCATGATAAATTTCTGACTCCATTATAAATACCAAGGCACAGATGCATACACTTTTTTGTCCTTTAAAAATTGAAAATTGTGACACGTGCGAATATGAATTACGATTCTCCCGGCATGTAGACTGGCCCGAAGATGTAAAAGTTTATATTGTTTGTAAATTGTATTGTGTGTAATTAAATAAAGACATGGCAGTAATATCAAAATAATTAAACATTTAAAATCAATAATTTGATTATTCAACATAAATTAGAGTGGGTTATCAATTTTCCCAACACCAACGCAAGCTAAGCGAGATCGAAGACTGATATAATTCTTTGATCTGTAATTAAGGACAAATGGATTGAAATTAAAGTCCCTTGCATAATTGAATTATCTTTTACTAGAATTAATCGAACTAAACAGTGAAAATAAGAATTAAATCCTATTATACTGTAAAAGAAATATATATATATATATATATATATATATATATATATATATATATATATATATATATATATATATATATATATATAAAAGAGTGAATGAAATCTTTTAACATGTACGCTGCTTCGGGGGGGGGGGTGTTAAAATTATATTTCCGTGTATACATACATCTACAATGCAAAAACGCCAAAACAAACGGAGTTGTTCGCATTCGTTATTTGACACATGATATGAAATGCACGACAATGCTGGGGAAAGGACTTCCCCACCAATACCTGTTAATGTCATGTCGATGTGATACATGTACATGTACATTTTTCCTTCATCTAGAAGTATGCGATAAACGCATGTGAATTAAGGCTAGGTATAGGCGTTTCTATGCAAATGAGCTAATAAAAACGCATAAGAGGTTTATTTATTATTCAGAGAAAGTTTTGATTTATTTTCTTATGCATACTTAGTACCCACGATATGTTATAGCCAGTACACACTATGACGTCATATTATGACGTCACTGATCTAACCTACAGAAGTAATAAATCACAGCAACAAAACAGCTTCGGCGCAAGGGATTACCCTATTTATTTTTATATAAAAATTATGTAATACTAAGTAGAATATTCTATAGATTAAGAAAACTGCTGCACAAATCCTTGGCATTTTCTCATTTCATCGGAATCTGAAGAAACTTATACCGGACGGTACATTTTTACCCTTATTCAACTAAAAACTTTACGAATAGAAATTATACAACTGAGCTGTTGATATTTGTGCAGCAATACCAGTAAACTTTGGAATATATTGCTTCTTAATACACCTTGATTCAGTTAAATAAAATAGAGCATGCCCATGCGCCGAAGCATTTTTGTTGATGTCCATTATAATCTTGTGTAGTAAAGAACAATGACGTCATAATGTGTACTGGCTATCTCATGTCCTGGGTACCAAGTATGTATTAGACAATAAGTTTTAACTTTCTCTGTATAATTGATATAGTCCTTATGCATTTTAATTAGTTTATTTGCATAGAAATCCCTAAACTTAGCCTTAACTCACCTGCGAATATCGTAATATCCTAAAGCCTCAATCTAAAATGCTTACTTTACGAACACCTTGCTCTTTACTACGTTATCATTATTCTAGACATAAGTATCGACAGCTAGCACTATGAACAGTAAACGAAGACTGTTCTTCAATCTAGTTACTTATTATAATCTTATGTGCTGATTTACTGCAAAGAGAATGGAAACACAAATTCTAAATTACAATTAACTTAAGATGAACAAATATAAAAGCAATTATTTGTAAACATGCATTTTTAGTATATACACGTCATATATATGTATATTCATCCATTACAATTAGAAATACCCCCCCCCCCCAAAAAAAAAGAAAAGAAAAGAAAAAGGGAAGAAAGAAATTAATATCAAATACTGAGTAACTTTCTTTTAATTGCCAGACATGGCAAAATAATTTTTAGGGTCTCCATTTCTTGAAATTGTCGAACATGTTCAATATATTTTTAACACAGCTATAGGCCTATATTGTGTTTCATGATATGAACATCACAGTCACTGACACAAAACGAATTCGATTAAACTAAAGATTTTTCCATTAGTCTAAAAATATGCCATGCAACAGTAAACATAATCCATTCACATTGATCAAAGTGTAGAAGTCAAGTCACAACAAAGTATTACTGTTACACTGCACACTATTACGTTAGACTGATACAGCTAATCAGTGGCCCGTTTTACAAAAGAACTTACGACTAAGACAAAAAACTTCAGTTGATTGTAAAATTTTTCAAAATTAAATATTCTGTTTAAAATTGCTAGAGGAGAAGTATCTTTCTACATACCTTTTAAAAATATTAAAACCATTTTCTATTTAATGTAAATTAGAAAGATATAAGCAGAATTAAATTTTGGTCTTAGTCGTAAGTTCTTTTGTAAAACAGGCCCCTGGTCCATTTGCATCGTCACTGTCAGTACCCCGATCACAGAGAATCCATACCATTTTCTGTTTTTTAGCATGAACAAGTGGCTTGCTAAGTCTGCTTACATGGAAAAACTGTCATCTAACTGGATTGACTTCCTACTAAGGATTTCGGAGAAAAAACACTGACAATTACTACGTACGTTATTGATAATGGTAGTTGTATTATAATTATTACAGCTTGAAATTACTCTAATACATTCAGAAAGATGATTAAGAAGAAAAATGCGTCGATTTCTTTTGAAGAGTTTTTCCGGATCTCGATCCCGTTACATTTTGATGAAACATTTGTGTTGTAGTCATACTATATTTTTAAGAAAATCAAAGCGGTGTCTGAAATAATCAACCCTTTGATGTTTTTTTATGAAAACATTTTACTTACTTAGTCCTCTTCGTGCTGGTTAATACATACATTTCTGGTGAATATTTCATGTACCTTTCTAAACGTATATATTTCGTAGGGGGACTCAAGATGAGCTTCTTGTCTGTCAAATATTGTTGTTCTAAGTAAACGTGTTTTCGATAATAAATATTTGACTTTCGATTTAATTTTCCATTGTATAAAATAAAAAAACCACAGAAATTTCCATGTACAAAATAGATGTCGCACTTCTTGTCAACCAAGCCGGAATTAATAGGTTCGATATATTTGTAATTCATCTCTGTTTAATAGTAAACTTGTTCCCTCATTAAACACAAAACGTCAGATTTTTAAAAAAAAAATTGGTGGCTTGTTTGCTTTGCCCCCTAGGAAAAAAAAAAAAGAAAAAAGGGTTTTCGCATGAATTTTGCTTTAAAATTATATACAATAAGTAAGTAAGTAAACATTTTATTATACATAGTGCAGGCCCGTAGGAAGCAAATTCACTTTGAGGGGGCACATCCATACATTTTCAGCTGAGGGGGCACTATCAACTACCAAAATTCCTTGACAAGCAAAAAAAAAAAAAGTCATCAGACGTTATTATTGAGGGGGCACAAGCATATAGTAGCTATGTTTTCTACAGTGTTCTATATATCGGCAAAATTATTGGGGGGGGGGGGCACGCCCCCCCCCCCCCCCGGTTCCTACGGCCATGTAGTGACTTGTGTATACAATAATTTTACGTTCATTAGACAAATAAGCATATATGTACAACACCCGGCCCATCGGACCTATAAATCACTTTTAGCAATATATATTAATTAAATGCGTGTGATTTTTCTTTGTCTTACAGTGTAATGTTATATGCATTATATTTGAAACTCGCATTTTGACGTGGGAAATGGGTTAATAGATATCTGAATAGAATATTTAAATCGTTATTTTGTAAATTTGAAATGCCAATATTTCTTAGAAAATCATGTCTACAGTTTTTATACAGATTACACAATTCACTGTCCGTCGGCAATTACATATAATTTACTTGTGCCTCTTTTGCATAAACTGATCTTGTATTATACATGTACGTTTAATATTGAATTTCTCCGATTAAAATTAATACTGACAGCAGGCTCTAACCTAGAGAGGGGGGAGCATTCCGAACCAAGTTATATTGAAGCAGATAAAAAATGACTTTGACCCCCCCCCCCAGAAAGCGTGGATCCCACCACGAAATAGGTTTTTTTCACGTTAAGGAAATGGAATTTGCGTTATTTTTTTTTTAATTGAGGTGGAATTTCCCCCTCCCCTCCTGGAAAAATTCTTGGATCCGCACCTGGACAGCATGTTATTATATGTAAATTATATTTGTCAAAAAAAAAATGTTAAAGTTGAAGATAATGAACAAAGGTCAATTAAAAAAAAAAATTAATCGGTTGACAATAAAGAAAAAGAGCTGTGTTACCTAAAGATACCACGTCATTAGATACTATAACAGACCCACTACTGTCGTATACAGCTATGTTCATTTATTAGAATGGTTACATGTACCAAGATTAAAGACTTTTTTCTCGCTGAGCAGGCAGAAAATCTAAATAAAATAAATTTTACATTCCTGTATCGACGCGGATTGCTTTCCAAATATTTGCATCGGTGAGATTTACTTACACCAGGGACCTTTATACTATGGATATAGGTCATTAGTTACACGACTTGTTCAAGTTTATTAAAACACCAAGGAATATATTTTACAAGCACATGTAGCCACTAACCAGGAGCATATATATTAGTATATACATTTAGGTCTCTAATGTAGCCGTACTATAAGTGAACAAAATCTTCTTTATAGAATTATTGTTCGTAATGCATGCCCTTCCCAATTTGATGCTTTAAATTAAATATTTTTTGAATGAATGAAGGAATAAACTAACAAACAAATAAATAAATACATAAATAAATAAATAAATGAATAAATAAATAAAAAATGAAAAAATAATAAATAAAATTCATTAATTGATGAATTTTTTTTTTCTTGAAGCAATGATTTGTAAACTTTTCAGAATTACAGCATAACCCTATAAGTCTCTTAACAAATGTAAACATAATGAAAAGTACGAATAAATTAATAATTATAACAGTTTTAATGTTTATAGCGTATTTTTGTTATTTTGTCAGCAAGAAATGCACACTTCAGATCAGTCAACATTATTGACCATTTCGATATTTTCTTTGTGGCATTAACATATTCGTGAAGTTTTTGCCTAATGTGGATCACGAGACCCGTATCAGTTGACTTCAGTTGTATTACTATGTGTATAAAATAATGTTCAAAAGTTTCTCAAGGAAATAACCCTGTGTACTGAACTGACAACCTCACATCTTAGATAAATAGCGCCTCTGGAAGTGTGTATACTTCTTCCGTTTTGCTTCGGTGAACAATACAGGGGCCTACTGGGGCATATACTGTGGCATACCGTAGATCACTGTAGGAAGCAGTAGCCATACTGGGGCCTACCGTAGGCGTACTGGGGCCTACTGTAGGTAACTGTGGCATGCTGGGGATACATACAGTGGCATACTGAGAATTACTGTATATGCAGAGGAGACATACCGTACCATACTGTAGATACACCGTAGATAATTGTGGAAATGCTGTAGGTTACAGAGAAAGACAGGGGATTTTCATACGGACAGGGGTTTTAAAGCCAGTAGTGAAAGAGACTTAAAGCTTCCTTTGGGGGAGCACAGTTGTATCCTTAGTATACATGTTTAACTTAGATCCTCCTCTTCAAATCTTTTGAGGCGTCACGGTAGTCTAGTGGTTTACTTCGTGATCGGGAGGCCCGAGTTTGATTCTCGTTCGCCGCGTCGCATCAAACCTAAGACGTTTACATAGGTTAGTGACTGTTCCTTCGCCAAGCACCCGGCATTAGAAGTGAAGTCATGGATCTTTCGGATGAGACCTTAAAAACTGAGGTCCCTTGTCACGGTAGTCGTTAGCACGACAAAAAACTCTTACAGCTCAATGGCACTGAGTGCCGAGTATAGGTATGAATTTGAAGCCCCTCACCGGTATATGGTGACGTCTCTATATGAGTGAAGAATTCTCGAATAAAAACAATATACAATGAATTAATACATACAATCAAACTTTTGATACAAGGTGGGAGGTTAAAAGTCAGATGCACTCTGTCTTAACAGTGACATCACATTTTTCATAAATTCATAATAGAGTCTTAGACCACATTTTAATAATTTGTTTTTCACGACCTTTGACTTTTTTCTAAAGTGTGGGCGGATGGGTCGAAAAATCAATTGATTTTAAAGAACATATTTACGTTAGAATTTTTAATCCCCCCTCCTCCCCGAAAAAAGAAAATGGAAAAACATCTTTAAAAAAATCCTTGTGTCAACAATGTTGAGATCTCATTGATATTTATCTTGGTTATCCTAATAAATATTATGGTTTGGTCAGATTCATTGAACTTATTCCAATCAACTGCTTAATTGTTTGAACCCAAGACCCTCCGATCACGGTGCGATCGCTCCACAGATCGAGTTACCCTGAGGTTGACATATGAATGGAAGTAACTATTGATAATTGATAAAACACAGTCGATATATCAAGGCCATAACAAGTGTTTTCTTCTTGTGTAGAAGTTTCTTAATTTCTGCTTCATGGAATAAAAAAGGAGGTCGGGTAATGAAGGAGCACCATTGCTTCCCATCGAAATTCCTACGGTATGTTGGAAAACCCGGTCTCCGAAGACTACAAAGATGTTGTCAATAAGGATACTTAACTCGTCACAATCACAAGTCTGACGTAAAAGTAGGTCATACAAAAATCTTAAGAGATTCTGCCAAATATTTTGCAGTTTATTTCATTTTTTTGTCAATAATTGTGGAAAAATAATACACATGCTTGAATATAATTTACAAATGCTAAGTCATGATAAAAGTTTTGTTTGATTATCAAAGTATTTAAGTAATAAATATTTGAAATTCTGACTTACTTCTGCCTTTCCTTTATTGTCTTGAGGCCTATTTAAGTGGAACTGTAGATCTGTGAGAAAAATGTATATAACTGATCTGTTGGAGCTGTGGGTCTCTTATTAGTTTATTGAGACCTCTTATCCAAGAACATCAGAAGTGGGATCAGGTGCTATGGAGGAGTAAGCAACCCCTGTCGACGGATCACAGTCGCTTTGGGTAGGAACCAAGTTTCGACTACATAAAATGTTTATGCCATTTATCGACGGATTGGCAACTGCAAGGTCACAGAAAAGGTATTGCCTTTAGTGACTTTCATAGGGGAGCTTTAGTTCTCTGGGTTAATAACTGACCTGTTGGTTGTGGGTGGATGGGAGCTGTGGGCTCAGGCTAAATTTAACAAACCTGTTTGGGGAGGTAAAGAGTTAGCGGGTATGTTTAAAAGGCTATATCCAGATATTCTGACTGGGCGAAATGTGAAATACAATATGACGTCACAGTAATATATTTGAACTGGGCTTACAAGCTTATGATTTCAATATATGAATAGACGTTTAAATGCATTTCTCATAGGATGAGCATATATAGATCGTTTATATACACGCACAAATAGCTCCAAATAATCCCAAATAAAAGATTATATTTTTTATAATTATACTATACTAATATCCTAAAAAAGAGATTTTCGGTGAAATCTGGCTCATTGCCTTGCAAGCAGAATTTAGACATTAAACAAAAAAAATTGAAAGTTCTTTTGCAAATTAAAAGATAAATGCTACACCATGTCTAATTCAATATATTGGTAACGTAAAAAGATAAAAAGTTCCTTCAATCCCCAGGAGCAATAGATGCATATTAGTTTGAACAGTTAGCATAAACTGTATCGTTCTGTAGATATTCCGCTATAAGATCATGACTGAATTGGTATTCTTCCTGCACAAAAGAAAGAGAGATAAAATTGAATCATAACACCTTAAAAAATAGAACATATTTAGAAAATGCAGCCATATGGTATATATTTACTACAGCCTGATATTCTCATATGAAAAAAAAAATAGTTTTTATTAATTTAAAGTCAATATTACCTCGTGATGATGAATTATTTCGTATTTCATATTATTACGAGTCAGAAAAGATTTAATTAAGGCGAGAAAGAAGATATCGTTATGACGAGAAAAGATCTCGTAATTGCAAGTTAACATTTTTTGACCAAAGTACACCAAAATCACCATTTTACCACTACAATACAAACATCCACTTATAGAAATTAAAGGCATTTATCTACATATACAACTGCAGGAAATTTGTAAGCCTTTGAGACAAAGAATCTTTGTAAATGTAATGTACAAATAGCGTAATTATAGGTTTGTAATGATGTTTATTTCCTATAATATTACATGTATTTTAGTTTTTATATGCACCATCTAAATGCGGATCCAGGATTACTATATTGGGGACAAAGGGGGTTGGGGTCAGAAATATTATCAAAAACAAAGAGAAAAATTATACATATAAATGAATACGTATATGTCTTTCTTATATACGCGATTACACTTACAATAGTTGATATCATATCTGGCCTACGAATTTGTATCAATCGCGTTGTTGTGAAGATATCAACCTCTTTGTCAAGAATTAGTTGCTCAATAGCATTGTAAGCAACACAAAATGGACCACACCGTTTTGCACCGTCACTGCAATTAAAATAATTTGTACTTTAAAATAAAACTTATTTGAACATTCTGTTTTGAATGATCCATAAAAAGGCTTTATTTGCTTCATGAAACAGGAATTTTCAAACGTTATTAAGCACTTACCTTGACAAAACTAGCGTTCTACTGTCAGGACGGGTAGACTCTACAAGTCGGGTTTCTGTAATCACATTAAGAATCTTTCGACAATCAGCAACAACGGTATCCTCCCTCCAAAAGTTACATTCCAGAACAGAAACAGCTACGTCTTTGAAGCCCTATTATAATATGTTACAAGAGGCCCATGGGCCACATCGCTTACCTGAGCACATTGGTTAAAAAGAAGCAGAAATCAGTTCAGTATTGAAACAGGGGGCATCAGGGGGGTGGAGGGGGTGGGGGTGGGGGTTAAATTTTAATTTACACTACCTCATGATGCTCCAATGTCAATATTACTACTCATGGTTTTCCTGTTCTTAAACAAAAGAATTTTAAAGATTTTTTCCCTTATATATTCCTTTGCAAAAGTCTGATCGCTCACTGTGGCCCCACCCTCCCCACCCTAAATTTGAACAAATTTGAATCTACACTACCTGAGGATGCTTCTATTATTATAAGACTAATCATGGCTTTGCTGATCTAGAGCAGAAGATTTTTTCAAGATGATTTCTATATATTCTTATGTAAAGATTTGACCCTCTGTTGTGCCCCCCCCCCCTACCCCGGGGGTCATAATATGAACAAACTTGATTCTACAATACCTAAGGTTGCTTCTGTATAAATAAGACTAATAATGACTAATAATGGCTTAGTTGTTCTTGAGAAGAAGATTGTAAAGATATTTCCTAGGTAACATGTATGATCAGATTCTTACAAGGGATATATCGGTTTTCCTTTAACACTGTCTGAGTTATTGATTGGAATAATTATTAAGACAGCTCAGTCTGAGGTATAAGGTACTACTTACACCATGTTTTTCCCTTAGGTTCCCATTGTTAGATAAGAACCAGATGTCTCAATCTTCTTCAGATTTACTACACAGAACTAAACAAATCCCTAGGATACTTGCCACTTGTGTTTATAACTTTTATACTTTTATTTTGCTTTAACCCTTAAGGTTTTCCATCCTCTATCCTTAAATGTCCATCACATACATAATACTCTGATATTAGTTTAAAACATTTTATAGTAGAAAAAGATTTACCAAGAGAAAGTTTCAAAAATTAAATAAGATTGAAGTAATTAATTAAAGATTGCATTGAAGTCTATGGGGACAAGCGCTTTTTAAAATAAAAATTCAAATAATAAGAATATCAATAAATACTGTGTTGGAAAGATGCATTTAAACACATTAGAAATAGAATGACGATTGAAAACGATTTTTTTTACCAGATAAGTTTTCTAAAATTGACTTTTTTTATCAATTAAAAACAGAGGGAGACAACTCTTACCAAAATTCTAGGTCATATATTAGGACACATCCCACCCTTACATGCTTATAGTAATAAATGGGAATTACGTCTAAATGTACTGAGTATTCAACATGCACCTACATATCTGTTATGTACTCAAGTTCATTGAATCTGTTGCTTTTAGGAATAGAATACCTTAATCTTTATTGTTGATTCAACATCCAACTTCTTCATCTAGATTCTGAATGCCTGACTTTCCAAAAGCTTTGCCTTATATACCCTTTTGCTAGTCCATTCCAAGGGTTGTCAGGTCATTTCACTATTTTAAGTCTTGCGTTTTACTCAAATCGTTCTTAACCATTACACCTATACATTTCTATGTAAAACTGAGACCTACCATTGTTGCCCCGTCCTACCCCCAGGGGTCATGAATTGAACAATCGTGAATCTACACTACCTGAGGATACTTCTGTATTAAGATAACTAATAAAGCGTGGCACATCATGTGAACAAACCTAAATCCCCTTCACCCAAGAATGCTTTGTGGCAAGTTTGGTTGAAATTGGTCCAGTGGTTCTCCAGAAGAAGTCGAAAATGTGAAAAGTTTACAGACGCCGGACACTCTTCGATCAGAAAAGCTAACTTGAGCCTTCAGCTCAGGTGAGCTTAAAATTAATAAACGGTTGTCCTGGTATGAATTTAAAGAAATCAACAGACATCAATGTAGAGAGAGAGAGAGAGAGAGAGAGAGAGAGAGAGAGAGGGGCAGAGAAAGAGAGACAGAGAGATTTGATGCCAAGTACACTCTACCTTTTTCTGAATAATGATGTTTGTTTTCGTAACACAGTCGGAGGGAGTACAGATTCTCATTTTTACTGTGAAACCTCCCACAACCTTTGTATCATTTTTAGATGGAAACCAACATTTCGACTAAAATAAATAGAACGGAATATTAAGAACAGAATCTGACACATTCTTGTGTATTTTTTTTTTAAATTTTCAAATATCAACCTAGACTCATACCGAGGATACGTCCGAAAGTTGCCCGAGAGAAACTACCGTACCAGCTCCACTCTTTCGTACTAGGTAAAGGAAATCTTCACACTGATTCTCATTTGGGTACTGGGCACTTATAATTCCGTCAGGTTTAGTAAAACTCTGCAAAGAAAAGAAAATCAGGAATCTTAGCATGATATAAGGTCAAAAATGACAGCTCTTTTATTGGAAGAATATATTGATTTATAGTTGAAAGAGGTATTTTGTCTTACTAACCTGCAAGATAACAGCGTTATTATAATGCACTTCTCTGTCATCGTCGGAGAGCACATAACATCTATATTTTTGGTCTAAATTAAAAGAATATTAAGTTAATTTTATCATGTATAGTTGGCTTCTTTTCATGCACACAAATATAAATACTAAGGTAGAAATCTGACCTTTAATACAAAATTGAATCTCCCAAAGGCATATCTTTCACAGTCACCCTTTACATGTAATTTAATATTAGATAAAAACAAATAACCGTTACACGGCTAATAGTATGATTATGCCATTTTTTTTACATATACTCTGAAAACTTTTTTTACAGAATATTGCAGATCTTTTGGTGAGGTGCAACATCATAATCCATTTGAATTCATTTGTATCAAAAGTTTGAAATTCACTGAACAGACGTATTTTCCAAATGCAAGAAATCATTTGTTTATCATTGACATTTGCCGTTTGATGAAATAACGACACCTCTTCAAGTAGCATATTTATAATTTAAAGTCATGCCATCTATTACTAAATTAAAGTTTTCATTAGGGGATATAATTCTAAATTGCAAAGCCCAGTGACCACCACTTCAGATACTGTGCAATCATTAAATTTCGTGGTGACTCAATATTCGTGGAATTCATGGATACCTCTCATCCACGAATTAACATCCTCCACGAATTAATATACTAGGGTTTCAATATCATATTTCCTTTTGTAGATATCAGTGAATAAACGAAATAACGTCCCCACGAACCTGTAAAATTTAAGAATCCACGAAAATAGGGTCCTCGCGAATGTTGGTGATTCCACAGTATGAGAATTGTACACAATGGATTTAAGAACTTAATATTTTTCTTATTTTAGGGGTGGAGGAGAGAAAGATAGAAAATAAGATTCATAATAGCTTGAGTTTGGAAACCATTGAAGAAACATTCATTTTAGAAATTTAGAACTGCCTAACAACAACAAAAAAAAAAAATAAAATAAAAAATAAGAGATACACCAAAAAAGCAAAGAAAAAAAAAGAAAATATAAACATACCAATATATAAGACATTTCTCAATGTACGAGGGTTGTCCGGTAAAATCGTGGACAAGTTGTCTATAATGAAAAATAATCATCACTGCGTTCTAAAATTTTCACTACATTTTAGTACATTTTTAATCAATATACATAGCAAATTTCAAATAGATATCTGCTCAAATAAACAAAATATGAGATTTTATGTTATGTATGGTATCGTCTTACGGCGCACGGATGATAAGGTCAAAGTCTCTTTTAAAGCAGCGTCACGTTTCCTCTTTGCTAAATAAAAGTTGGATAAGCCCCACTTAAATTCGGGGATTTCATTGATGCACATACTTGATTTTCCCTTTATTCCTCCATAAACAGTCGAGGAACCAATCTCGTACACATCTGGGACCTTATGAAGATTTATTAGTAAGTTATGGACAGTACTCTCGCTATCATTCAACTAAACAGGCTCTCCTATATCGACGGTCTACAGCGACAGCGTCTTTCGCTATTGCCAGTAGCTGTTTGTCCGTATGTTTTGTTCTACCCGGGGACCCGATCAAAAAGCTTCCGCTTAGAAAACTCCCATTTCACTTGTATACTAAAGATCGATATTTTAATTTTTTTTTCTGTAGCCATTTTAAGTTTCTTAGGGCGTCATTACTACATCTAAATCAAACTGAACTGCTCTCCGGTGCGCGCCGTAACGTCACCAAACTTCGCCATTTTTCGTGTGTTGCGTTTACCACTTTCCCATTTAAAATGCTCAGGAAACTGCCAAAAATTAAGCAAATGTCTTGATATTTTATAAAAGACGAAATAATAGATAGTGGATTAAAAATAGGATGATTTTTACCCCAACCTTATCTATTTAATACTTTTATTTCGAAATAATACTCGTGTATTCACTAATGAAACCCTGGTTTTTTTATCATGCGCCGTAGGACCGTACCCTGTGCACATTCAAGTATAATAAAATCTTTATTTTTGTCTATATTTTATCAAAATAATTAAGATACACTAAAATATGATGAATAAACATTTGCTGAAAATTTCAGCATAGTGCGCCCATTATTTTTCGAGAAAAACGTTTTGTCCCCGATTTTACCGGACAATCCTCGTATAAGAATCAATATAATAATCAATCAATTTATAAAATAATTATGTATTAAAGCTTTTATATTAATTTTGCTGAGTTACAACATAAAGCAAACTAACTGATTGCATCTAAATACAAATTCATACTTGGTAAATCTTCCTCAGTAAAACTAGCACCAAAATTTGTATGTCCAGACACGCTGTTATTTACAGTGTGGTATGGATTCAGAGATTTAAGCTCCTGGTGAAAAAAGAAAATCAAAAGAAAATCACATGATTTTACTTATCATATTTCAGTATATTCTTGAAAAAAATATTTTCTATATTTACTAATGGATGAAACATTCAAAGCTTGAGAAAGAAAGAGAAAGTGTTACATAATGTTCTACAAAAAGAAATAGTTTTTATACGATTAAGTGGAAAAAGGCGCATCTAGATGCATGTTTTTCAAGACTTCTCCTGGGTACCATTTGTCCAACCAGTAAAACTAAAATATTCACCTTGAACTGATCTTCTACAGGTAAATTCTTATTTGCTACTTCCCCTAGATTGACGTAACAAGAGGAGTTTTGATACTGTGAAAGGAAGGTTTCAGCACCAACAGGTCTCAGATCTCCTCTGAATGATTCATATAAGGCAGCATAGACCATTTTATATTGATCCTTTAATAAAAGGAACAATAGCATTAGTACTTGCTCGGCAATAGCATGGTAAAAAAATAAATTATAATACTTTATCTCTTAACGAAAATTATTTTTAGCATTAAATTGACCGCTAAGAAGGGTACTTGTTTCACTTATTTGCTTCAATATATATATCTCTAAAAATAGTCCTTTTCAAATGTTTCTTAGATAAACTAATACCTCTCCCTGTATCATGTTCATTCTGTCATGACGCATTTGTGTAACATATTCCTGCACATTTACAAAACCTGAATTCAGACCGTCTCGGTAGAGGGCGTCCAAAGCTATGAAGGTACCCGTTCTTCCAATTCCAGCACTTTATCGAAAATGAGAATCAATAAATGAGGGAAAGGAAAAAAAGAGAAGGAAAAGACACATTTTGTGAAGAAGAAGACGATGATTCAAACTTTGTAAATACAAAAACTGAAGACATCTTTTCACAATGTTATCAGAAATATATTTCTAGTTAAGAAATTAATATTAATTTGGATTTGTTTGTAAATATCTATAAAGGCATCTTAAGGATGCATAATGTGTTCTTCAATTGTCTTTGAGAAATTTTTCTCTAACCTGCAGTGAACAACAAGTTTGTGTTGAAGGGAATTCCCTGATACCGATCTCAGGAAATGTCGGTGGAACATAACAAGGTTTATTGCTTCAGGAACACCATGGTCTGTCCACTGGGTATAGTGAAACATCCGTACATCCCGCTCTTCTTTTTTCTGCAGATAAATAAGAAGAAAGAGAGAAGGGATTAGAAGGGTGGTGAGTGCGAGAAACAGCAAGAAAATCAATAACAGTAACAATAAGGTTTTATAGGTGAGCTTAATTATGCTGAGTTCACAGATTCCTTGATAAATTCAAAAACACCACTATGACGTGCTTTTGAAAATCTGTAGGTGCTCTTCTTTTAGCGGGATCCATATATCAGTGATATCATTTGTACATCCCTAAATTTTTCCAAGACATACTTTCATATTTATGCATGTATTATATATTTTTAAATAGAATTTTTTAAACATTTTTTTTATTTTTATAATTTTTATTTTAAGAATAGCCCACGTTTACGCTGAATGTTTTAACATGTTAAAAAAATACACTTCAGCAAAATATCACACCTGGATACTTACCACAATATTTTGCACATGAAAGTTCCTCGTAACATAATTTGCATAGGTCTTTTCTTCAAAGTTTCGAATTGCAAAATGTCCATGTTGAATTTTATCATTGTTGTTTGGCCAGTACTGTCTACATTTTTCCTATTATGAAAAAGAAAGTTCCGTCAACAAAGACCATCAAGCATGAACAAATACGTGACTGGATGAAAGTGATAATTATAAGGGTGTCATATGTATTCTTATGTTTATTATAAGTGTGTCATATGTATTCTTATAGTCAATACCTAACATGATGAAAATAATCCATGGTTAAATTTTAAGCTTGGTTTATACATTTTTGATAAGGGTTTTTTGTCAGGATAATGAAAATTTAGATTATAAATAAATGTACCAGCAAGATTTTTCCTTCTCTCACAAAAAGAACATCATCTTTTTCATGATAACTATTGCACTTTGAACTGATAATGAAGTGATACGTGAAAAAATGATTTTACATTTTTCAGCACTTAGACTGGTTTATAAATACCAGATCTCAACGCACATAACCCTTCTGATAGGGAGAATCAAATAACAAGATGAACTGATATAATATTTTACTTTGAGACACTCTTCAATGTTATTTTACATCTGATACTGCATATTACATAAAGGTAAAATATTTCAACCAGGCTAGTTTGAAAAATCATTCCTTGTATGTTGACATCAACATAGAATATTTGATAAAATTCATTGTACGATCTTTTTCTTTAATGCAATATGTAGTAAATGTAGAATTGTGCTTTGGATATTAACTTTAAAGAAAGAAGATACACAAAAAATCAATCTTATTAAAATCAGATCCTTTGATCCGCTCACATAGATCTCTGCATTTGTACACAAGGATCTGAAGAAATGATGATACAATGACACGATGCAGCAATAGTGAGATGATGCAGTGCTATAAAGTCTTTGACACAATGGTGCAAAATCAATGACACAATAACCATAAAACGATGTTCACAATCGTCATCACATTATCGTCATCGCGCCACTGTATTATCGTGCCATCAGCCCTTAAGTTGATGGTCGATAGTGCTACAGTGAACTACATGGCTCTATTTGGATTTCATAACATGGCAGAAAAACAAGTACTTTTATGTTATAACTCTTAAGGTATCATCTTTTCAAGGAGGGGGCGATTGCTCATAATAAGGAATTAAAGCAATGTAAAATACGAAGATAACGTACAGCGATTAATCTCATAATTCTAATCTCAAAAATATTTAGTTAAGCAAAGTTTACTATAGTTAACTATGTTATCAATTTAGTAAAAAGTATCACTGTAGTGTCAAAGTGATGACAGTAGTATTTCAAAGTTTTCATAGTGTCAAAGTTTTCACAGTGTCAAAGTTTTCACAGTGTCAAATTTTTCACTATAGAAAATCAAAGTTTTCGTAGTGAACACTATAATAGTAAACCAGTTTTCATGGGGTCAAAGCTTTCATTTTAGTATAAGTTTTCATAGTAATCACTTGAATGTCATAGTTACAACTATAGTAAATCAAAGTGGCAAAGTTTACAACACTATGGTAAATCAAAGTTTTGATGTTAACAACATAATGATAAATCGTAGTTTTAGACATGATAACCTAAGAAAATTTGAATTTATTACTATGTTTTATGACCTACTTTATGATGGACGTCATTTAATTTCACTACATGGTTATTATCCAGTTTTGCAGATTATCTCAATTTACGAAAGATAACTGTTGATGTCTTCTATTTTCAATAATTCCATGCACTTTGCATGCAATTAATTTTTTTTCTAATTTTATTTTCACTTTTATTCTTTTTGAAAAACTTTCGGCTTTCAAAGATTTCTACTGGGTAAAATTTCTACAATGAATATTGTTTGTCTTTCATTTCAGTTGGCCTTTTTGACATCAGGAAATAACATCATTTAATGTTATTAAGTATATATTAAACAAGACAGAACTCACATCTTATACATATATATATATATATCGATATAAAAATATATTTGAGTAATTGATTGGATGATTATTGTTTAACGGCCAGTCGGCAGTATTTCAGCCATATTTCTATTTATTTGAGTGATAACTTTAATAAATGAAAGTTTTCATAGTGATTACTATAGTATTTCAAAGTTTCATAGTGTCAAAGTTATCACTATAGCGAATGAAAGTTTCATGGTGATCACTATAGCAGATCAAATTTTCATAGTTAACACTAGAGTTAATCAAAGCGTCAAAATTATCATTATAATTAACTACAGTTTTCATAGTGTCAAAGTTATCAATATAGTTAAATATAGTATTATTTTGTTACGGAGGAGGAGAATGCACCCCCTTTGACCAAGTCGTGCTATCCATGATCTCTATGTATTTATCTGGTAGACGAAATGTTTGCCTTTTGTTTAAATCATAAACGCAAATTAATGTGATGATTGCTCCATTTTTTTTATTTATGTCACTCCGTGGAATAAAATATATTTGTTTAAACTTTCAGCGCCGAGACGAAAACTACTTTTGCTATCTGTTAATTTCATTCTCTTGGGTAGTAGTTTAGTTCTTAATTGAGAAGATCTTACGTTTATAGATCTCGTATTCTAGGAACAATTTTTTTCAAGGTATATCTGAGTGAAATTTTCGTGGTTCCCCACACATAATGGAAAAATTGGAAAACCTTAAGTTACATAAGAAAAAGGTTATTACGACCCTAGAAAAACGAGCAACACGGATTGGAACAGGTCATCTCTCAGAATAAGGTAATGCACCTGTGGGATAATGCATACAAAATTCATGGAATAGCCAAATGGTAACTTTATAAGAATGCTTTATTTTTACGATGTTAATGTATCTTAAAACCATTAACAATCACAATAAAAATCACAACTAACCTTTGTCCCTTCCTTAAGATTTGTTAAGCAAACAATTGTTGTAACCAACTCTTGCCACACCATTTCCCAAAAGTCAGCAAATGTTTTCTTTTTTGGACCTGTCAAAAGGATGAGGGTAGTACAAATTTACAAAGAATTAACCCTTAAATTGCAAATTCAGATTATTTGCAATTTTTTTGTAAAGAATTATTTTCAAAACATATACGTAAAATTTTCTTACCTTGAGTAGCAATATACCTTCTCTTTTCTCCAGAAAGATCCTATTTGAAAAGCAATGAGAATAAAATATCTATATACTTAATACCATAGTTACCCATATTCTACAGAATGATATCAAATGAAAAAAAGGTGAAGATAACGAACAATGATCGATCACAAAAAATCCACAAAAATATTTTTAAAAAGATAAATATACGAGGGTTGTTAGAAAAGTTCGCGGACACATTGATTTACGGAAAATCTATTGTGTACTGTGAAGTATGACTTATGTCTGATTAAATTCCTATCTTTTGTTTATAAGTATGTAAAGAATCAGGTCCTTTTACTAAAATTTTGAAAATTTACAATTTTCACTATGCGGTCATAGGATTCACGGAGCATTAACTTAACGTTAAGTGACGTGACAAGCAGATTTCAAATTCGTTAAACTTTTTCATAGTTCTAAATATCTTTCATTTTCTTGTCTTTTTTCTACTGAAAAGTTAAATATCTATGTCAAGACATGTTACTTTTCTTCTATAATGTCTTTTGTGCTGTTTCGGACATTAGGGAGATCTTAAAATAATAGTCTACGCAGTTAAGAGGTAAGGTATGGAAACAATGCAAAATCCATAGCCGCAACGTCCATGCGATAAGTGGGGTATTGAGGTATCGATTGAGTTGATCATTAAAAATGTTAATCCTTCCATTCTTATAAAGCTACTACATTTTGAATACATTTGTCCTTTGTACGTGTAGGCAATTTCCAGCAGCATCTAGAAGCACTTTAATTTATTTTAGACATTTTCCTGTCTGCACACATAATTTTTTAGTAGCTCGGTGCTCCATGACGTTCCATGACATTCCCATTCTTGGCTTTGTTTTTACGCCTTGATTATTTATAAATGTCTATAAAACAGTCGTACACCCTCCAATTTAATTCAAAATTTCGGCAAGTAAAGTTTCATGAATACTGTAGCGACAGGTAAAATATCATAATGCTTTCTGCGCTACAACTGTGCAATTTTTGATTTCAATAAAAAGTCTGTGTAATGTAAACCTGCAAAAAAGTAGCATGCTACGTGAAGCATGTTTTATCAAACTAATATAGCTGTATATTTTTTAAGGATCACCGGAAAACACCAGATCTTTGTATATTTATTGGAAAATAGGTAAAGTTTTTATCTGGAGAGTTTAAACGGTTTCATGGAAATAGCGCATTCACCATAGAACTTGTCCGCGAACTTTTCTAACAACCCTCGTAATTGTTATTAATAAAAATCATGTTTATGAAGCCTATTTAAATGAGTGAATCATGGAATGCAGCTCTTGGGGAGTTAGGAAGTAAACACTGAGAAATAATAATGCAGAATTCATATTATAAAACCTGAAGGTAAAATTATTTTTGTTATTGATCAGAAGGAAATGACTCAGGGAAGCAAAGATGCCAAAATATTTTGAAGTTTTCCTACTCCTATCATCTTTTGTGTAATTTAAGTCACAACCCAAAACGCAAATACATGTAATTAAGAGGATAATTATGAAAGAATACAAGATTTAGTGACATAATTAGAGTAAGCATCATGCAAATACATCATAGGGAAAGAGTAATTAAGACACTCCAAACGGATTTATTTGAATAAGTAATATTCAAAATCAACATGCTTGATACAATTTATATTCTTTCTTATAAAATAAAAAAAAAGAGCAAGTGGCTAGAAATTAACACAATTTCATCTTAAATATTTACCCGTCATCTATTTAGCCTTAATCCTGTCGAGAAAATATCCTTATCTTAAAACTAAGTAAAAGTTTATCAGTAATTTCATTTGCAATTGTTTTCTTCATGCAAGATAACATATCATATGCATAGTTAATAATCGTGTCCATTTCACTTTTACTTAGAACAGTATGCTTGTAATAAATTGATACATGTGTACCCTTATGTAGTTAGCGTTGATATAGCCATCGTTCTTGTTCAACTCTTGTAGAATGACACGAGTATGATCATCTATAAATGAATAAAATATAAACGTCATCACATTTGTCTCATTTTAATATCAAGTCATACTTTCATTTTCGTGAAATCAATTGTTTCCATTATAATTCATGTTAACATTTTTGCCACTTTATTATTGCAATTATATTAAAAATCATTCAAAAAGTAATATTCTGTCTTTAAATGTCCTTTTCACTATCCTTTTGAAAGGTTTATTAGCTTATAATGACAGAACCAAAATATTGTGAACGAAACGTCTCCAAAATAATAATAATAATACCCAGTTGTTATTTTGATTAATGTCTTACAGGGAAATGTTGTAGTATATCTGTTTTTGACTTTGTTTTCGTCTCTTTTTCCAACTTCACATGGATGTAACTCGCCATTAAGAATCTCCTAAATAGCAAGTTTAAAGCAATTAAAAGTTGCTGCTAAATACATTCCCTCATCAGAATAGTAATATATTCAATACCAATGGCATTTTAGAAATTAGAGAAAACTTTTGAACAAACTAGTTTTTTTTCCAGATGAAGAAACATTTTCTATGATTTAATATATTCTTTTGATTAGCTAAAATGTATATTTCTATAAATTAAATAAAAAAAATAAATCTACTTAAGCCTCTATACCTTGTACTCTTCTTTAAACCCCGCATTTTCCTGACGTGAAAAGTTCCTTATTGTTGTGCAGAGATCTTTAATTTGAATACGTCTTTGTTTTGGCTTGAGGCTAGTCCTTTGGAGCATCTCATTTTTGTTTGAATGAATATCATCACCATCTATTCAACAAAACCCATATCTGTTTAGTAAAAATATTCACTGCCCCCTCCTCATTCCCGTTTCCCTTATATCGAATAATTTAAATATGAATTGCAAAAAGGTGTGAGTTGTGTGTCTATCTGAACCAGAAGTATTTCCTCTTCTTTTTCAATTAGTACTAAATAATTATCGGATTATATTTGAAACAAAAAAAGTTAAGATCTGCATACCCTGTGTTAGGTTATCTTCATTAGCATTGTGTAAAACAAATTCCAAAGTTTGTTGACTTCCGTCTTTTTCTTTTGTTACGAGCCTCGCTCTTCGTCTCCTTTGAAGTAACCTATGACAAAACAATTTAAAAAGGTTACTATAATGACTACAATGACGATTGTTATCGAAGAAAACAATTATACAATAGTTATCATATCATAAATATTATTATATGCAAATTTAATACAACATTTAATTGCTTGAAAAGAGAACCTTACCATATGAACAGTACCACGACAACGACAATTACTAATACAACACCACCAATCACGCCATATATGATATTTTCTTGATTTTTCTCAGACGCCTTCACCGCGAATCCTATAACATTTTTTTTCTTATGTACAAATAAATGCAACATATGACAAAAATATAGAGTTGACCCCAGATACTGTAAACGTGGTTATTTTGACGAGTTGAAAAATTGACGATTTTTTGTTTACGGAAATTGACGAGTGTTAATTTTGACGAAATATTGAATCAAGAGTTATGTATATCTTTGATTTCACAAGATTAAAACAAAAATGAATACAAAGAACTCCTAAAAAACGAGTTTCAAAACTAGTACTCAGGGTAAGTTCGCCAAAAGCCAGAGGACCAAAAACTTGATGGGAACATTTGGCTTAGTTGACTTGAGAACGTCTACGATTAAGCCGCTCTGTGCGAGTTCACGACGTTATAAGCAAGGACCGCGACTTCCTCGGGAACTCATTTACAAGCGTTCTCATCAATAAAATTTTAATTTTGCTTGTAAAAACCATCTACAATGTATAAGATTTGATTGAATTAATTGCTCTTTTGTATTTTGTTTTCATTATACGAGACCGATTGCCTGAGGTGACAAAGTAGGAAAAACACGGCGTGATAATTACGCAAAGTTAGAATGTTGTGACCATGGGTAATAATAATATATGACATACTCAGTGGTTTTTAAAACTGTGATTATATGTTTTCATAACTATTTACAAAAAAATTAAACTAACTTTGATCTAGTTTTAATTGGGGAAGCCGAGAAAAGCGGTAAAGTTGTACAACTGTCAATGTCTGTTGTGACGCTATATATATGATATGAAGTTTGACGAGTGGAAATTTTGACGAGAAAAGAAAAATCGTCAATATAGTCAAAATTAGCACGTCGTCAAAATTTCCACGTTTACAGTAAGTAAACGTTATTCTTAACTTAAGTCTAGACAGTTTTTCATTGAGGTGTTGACTATATATTTCTTTTCCATTTCATGGATACGAATATATTTCGCGGAAAATTATTGTCAACCCAATTTATGCAGTACCCTGATTGTAAATGCCATTGCAGGTGTCAAGTACATATTCCGATAAATCACTAATTTTAAAGTATTGGTGAAAAAATACGTAGATTTACCTTTCAAAGGCTGACACATATAACCCTCATAACCTTGTTGACATCCACTTGGACAACTTCCATTTATAACGTCACACGGCTCGTTCTTCATACAGTTCGAACTGCAGCGTTCTTCACAATTATGACCATAATATTCAGAGGGGCACACTATAAATAAGTGAAAAACCACATACATATGTATCCTAATACCAAACAATTATAAAAGAATTTTCTGTTGGAGAAGTATTTAATGTTGAAAATAAAAGTTTATTTAATGTACCTTCGGAA